TCAAACTCCTCCCATATAATAGTCTCAAGACCTGCTCCCGTCTCCTCCCCCGGGGCCACCCAGTCGGAGTCTAAACCCTCTCGGATCCGAGCGACTTTGTCATACAGATATTGAGCAAAATCCTCAGCCCTCCCCACCAGGGGGTCCCCCCCCTCAACTGAAGGAGAGAGCGGGTCACCCTGAAGAGGGTGGCAGGGCGATTATCTGATGACGCAATGAGGGTGGAGTAGTAATTAGACCTCGCCACCCTCATTGCCACAAGGTAGGATCTAACATGCATCCTCACCTGTGCTCGGTCGGATTCGGTTCGGGTAGCCCTCCAACTGCTCTCTAGGCGTCTTTTCCGGCACTTCATCTCTTTTTATCATGTCATGCCTTGTCCTTCTCTTCATTAAACTAGACATACATTATGTGACCCATACAGTGACCAAATAACAATTCTCTCCCAACTGAACACTTCTGAAATAAAGATCTTTTGGTGCTGACTTTACTTCTCTGCTCAGTTATTGCTTTTCTTTCCACTTACTCCCTAAGTGCAGCATTTTGCTGTTCCAAAGTGTCAGAAGAGTCCTCTTATCTGGATTGGGATCATAGCAGAACATAGAATAATAGAGTTAAAAGGGATCTTGGAGGTCTTTTAGCTCAACTCCCTGCTTGAACAGGAGACCCTATATCATTTCAGATAAATGATTGTCCAGTCTCTTTTTGAAAGTCTCAACGATGGCACACCCACAACTTCTGAATGCAGGTTATTCCATTGGTTAATTGCTCTCATCATTAGGAATTTCTTCTTAATTCTAGGTTGCTTCTCTCCTTGGTTAGTTTTTAACTACTGTTTCTTGTTTTGCCTTTTCATGCTTTGGAAAATAGTTTGAACTTTGCAGAGCCCCTCAAATATTAGAAGAACTCTATCATCTCTCCCCTAGTCCTTTTCACTAGACTAGCCATATCCAATTCCTGTAACTGTTTTTCATACATTTTAGCTTCCAGCCCGTTAATCATTTTTGTTGCTCTACTCTGCACTCTTTCCACAGTCTTTTAATATTCTGGTGACCAAAACTGGATGGCAAGCTGAAGGCAAGCTGTTGGCTCATATTTAAAAGATTGTCTACTAGGACTGCAAGATGCCTCTCACAGTTACTGGCAGTAGGCCAGGTTTAACCTAGTCTATACCTATACAGTTGGTTTTTCTTACCTAAGTGTAAAACTTTTTTCTCCCTTTAGGAATACTGATCTGTCATCTCCAGATTCCATGATAAAACTCTACTCTTGGATCTACATTTCTATGGCTAAATATTGTCTTCTTGGTAAATAAATACCTGTGGGATTTTATAGGTGCCCAACATGTTTGAAATGAGGATGGAGATGTCAGCGTTGGCCCCTTCAAGAACAGCGAGGGTGCTTTTCTGCGTTCCACATCTGTAGTTGGGAACATTGGCCTCTCCATCTGAAAGCAGATCCAGAAGAGCATCCAAAGTAATTTGCTCACTAAAATAGTATTCATAGATATTGTAACCCAGAGTGAGGTTATATAAGAGATTCCTAGAATCCTGGTAGAAGTGGTGGACAGCATAAAGGAAGGAGAGCATTTTCCAGTATTTTGTGTATTGTCCCCTGCATGTATAAATATATTAGAAAATGAATCAAAAGAACATTTTACTGAAATACTATTCAATATTCAACTTCACCTGGTATCAAGAGTTCTTATGTGGGAGTTAAAACATTCCTAAAAATATTAATATAGAAAACTAGTCAAATTAATAAATTTTAGTACTAAAAGTTTTTAAATCCTATTTCAAAGGTACTATCTCAGTTTATAACATGAACAGAAAGTCAATTTTATGAACGGGTTGATGATATTTTGTAGCATTTTAGAATGGATTGTTTAATCTCTCCTAATAAGGGTGCTTGATACCTCACATATTTAAAGGCAATCCTTAACATACTGAATTCCTGTTATGTCTAAACAAATCTAATTATTAGTGGATTTTGCTTATTCTGATTTTATAAATATCTTTGAAGTTGGACCAAGAATTCAATCTAGTTTAATAGATATTCTCTTTTCCCCAGATTTTAATATTTAGAAATTTTATCTATTCTTTAATATTAAGTATAGAATGATAAAACTTGAAAGGGTCATTTAGGAGATCAATTCTACAGTCTAATTTCCTAAATGTAAACATAAACCAAGCACATCATTGTGATCATCAGGATCCTTGCATTAGATCAATATTTTAGAATATTTTCATTTTTATTGAACTTGGGAGCATTAAATCTTTGGCATAAATTCATCAATAGGAATCATAAACATTTGCAAAATCCGTGAATAAGTACATTCTTAACTGTGACTCTTTCATCTCAATATCTTTGGAGATTCTCAGTCATCCAGGTCACAGTTGTCCCAAAGGTGCTTTCCAAAAGGCAACTGGACTTCTTTTGTTTTTTCCTTGAAAACGTTTTGCTTTCCATCCAACAAGGATCTTCACTTGCTTCTTCAGTGACATGATAGCACTGTTCCCATATCTCATGGGTTGCCACAAAAAAAGGTCTCAACCTATTCTCCAAAGCAGCTGAAAGCAAGACAAGGAACAATTGATAGAAACTAATCAATGGAGAGAAGCTACCTAGAACTAAGGAGAAATTTCCTGACAGTTAGAAAATTAATTAGTGGAATGACTTGCCTCCAAACGTTATGCATGCTCCAATACAGGAAGTTTTTAAGAAGAGTTGGACAACTGTTTGTCTGAAATGGTATAGGGTTTTCTGCCTGAGCAGGGGGTTGAACTAGAAGACCTCCAAGATCCATTCCAACTCTGATATTCTATTCTATTCTATTCTATTCTATTCTATTCTATTCTATTCTATTCTATTCTATTCTATTCTATTCTATTCTATTCCCACCTCTGCTCCTTTGTACATAGAGTCCATCAATATTGCTGTGTGGATGAAGGGTATAAATCATTGTCATTATTGTTTGGTATTGCCTGAATAGGCGGATGGACTAGAAGATCTCCAAGGTCACTTCCAACTCTGATATTCTGTTATTCTGTTGCCTTTTGAAAAGCACCTTTGGGGCTTTCATCTCAATAGTTAATCTTAGTGTAGAAAAGAAATTTTTGAATTTCTCCACTTCAGGGAGAAAATAGAGTACTTCTAAGAATTTGCAACCATGTCATTTTTCAGAAGTCAATATCAGTTTGAGGACGGCTTTCTTCTTTCCTTCAAGGGCCAGAGAGGAGTACAGAAGGACCACCCCATACTCCATACACATAATGTAGCTCTGCTTAAAGGAAGTGAAGAAAGGGAATGTTTGTTCTGCACGTTGAAAGGATAGCAAAGATCTCTACTTTGACCATCTTATTTGATAGGTGCTGAGGAACCTCATCAGCTGCAGGACATAAAATAGATCCCCAAATAAATTAGAACAGAAAGAGAGCAAAAGTAGCAGATCAAGCAGACAATATGTGGTTAATTTCAAAGGGCTGGAACTGACTTACAAGAATAATTGAATGGAAGGAGTTTTGTTGAAGCTAAATGGTAGAAACCTAGCCTGGGTTGCAGAGATTATCCCACTAATGAGAAAATCTCCTGGCTTGTAATAATTCTGCGAATAAACCTCTTCTTGCTCCAGAGTCAAGAGGCATTTTGCTTTGCGCTGCTGAGAAGCTCCCTGAGGCCACAAAAGCAGCACAAGGAGAAGTAGAAGCAACATGACTTCCTGGCTTGATTCACTGTGGTGCATTGCAAACTTCTTCTCAAGGACAGAGAAGAGCAGCTAGAAGAAATAAAAAGCTCTCTTCCAAAATACAATCTTCACTGACCTTCCTAATTCAGGAGCCAGACAAGCTTCACATCTGAAAGGGAGGGGAGTAAACACAGCCCCTGCCTGCCTTAAAAATCTTCTCATGCTCTCTTTCTACTGAGAAGATATAATGCAGGATTACTCTGGTGTCTGGCTTTGACATCAAAACATGTTTTTGATGTGCTTGTTGACCAATCTGCTCAATAATTCTAGAAAGGTCTCTTGAGACTTAATAGAAGGACAACAAATAAATCTCAATGATCAGGATAATTGTGAGGAATGGAAAATCCCCTCTAGAAACTTTGAATTATTCAGCAGGCAAGTACCCAAAGGGAGAACTCACAGAGGTACTGTGAAATTTGGAAAATGGGTACTGAGGGACACTGGAGAATTTGGCCCCAAACTTTTAGCATGGCCATAAATATGAATAATTTCACAACAAAGTAAATTTATATTCCATCTATGTTCTTCTGTACAGCAGTATGCAATTGAAAAAGAAAGATTCAATCAAACCCAAAATTTCTGTTGCTAAGTGAGGCATTTGTTAAGTGAGTTTTGCCTCATTTTATGACTTTGCTTGTCAGAAGGATGCAAAAATGTACCACATGACCTCAGGACTCTGCAACCATCATAAATATCAGTCAGTTGCCAAGCATTTGAATTTTGATCACATGGTCATGGGGATCCTGCAACGGTCATAAGTGTGAAAAGTGGCATGTTATTTTTTTAGTGTTGTTGTAACTTCAAATGCTCACTAAGTGAACTGTTGTAAATTTAGGATTACCTGAACCAATTGTGTTGAATACTCACAAACTGGGGATCATTAAACACATCTCCTGTTGATTTTATTGTTTTTTTTCCCTTTTAAAATTAAGCAAAACTCAAGAGAAATTTGGGTTGCTTTGCATGAGATGTCTCATAGTTGGCCTCGGTTAATCCAAGGGCAATTTGGCTCCTTCTTTAAAAAAGCAACAATAAATAGCCTGTTTCTTGGCTTGAGAAAATCACTGCTCTTTATGAAATTAGAAGAAACCTTGATTGTATATTTCTTCAGTTAATTAGGCTTTTATTAAAGATAGTGCCTAAAGTGACAATTCTGAATGATGGGTGACACCTAAATTAAAGACATATATTTACTGAGATGTAGAGAGACACAGTAATTCTAAATATTCAGCTGGAAAAATACATGGAGAAACACATTATTTATTTACCTTTAGTCAAATAAGGTTATGTTTCACTTGGATTTATCAAATGACATTGTTAGGAAGTAATTCATAACAATTACTGCTTTATTTAAACATCAAATGTTCTTTTGTATTCAGATCTGGCTTTAGAATGATAATGTAGCACTTGGGGATGAAGATGCAGCCCAGTAGACCAGCACTGGAGGCCAAGATAGAGAAGACTTGCACAGCCACCATGTACTTCCCTTTGGTACTCAGGTAGGTGGGTACAAAGGAGACCCAGACGCTGCAGAAGACCAGCATGCTGAAGGTGATCAACTTGGCTTCGTTGAAGGTTCCAGGCAGATTCCTGGCCAAGAAAGCTACCATGAAACAGATGGCAGCCAGGAAGCCCATGTAGCCGAGAGCACAATAAAACATGGCAATAGATCCTTCATTGCATTGCAGGATGATCTCTCCAGGTTGAGAGTACAAGTCAAAGTCAGGAAATGGGGGAGAAAATCCCAGCCACATGGAGCAGATGATAATTTGGATAGCAGAACAAGAAAGGATGATGGAGGTAGCCAAGCTCTTCCCCAGCCATTTCTGAAGTTTATTCCCTGGTTTTGTGGCCAAGAAAACCAGCACCACCGTGATCGTTTTTGCCAAGACAGAAGAAATGGCAACTGAGAAGATGATGCTGAAGGTTATCTGTTGGAGAAGGCAGGTGACTCTCCTTGGCTTGCCAATGAAGAGGAAAGAAGTGAAGAAGGAAAACAGGAGGGAGACCAGGAGGATGTAGGAAAGGTCTCTGTTATTGGCTTTGATGATTGGAGTGTCTAGGAATTTAATGAAGATTCCCAAGACAAAGGCTGTTGTCAAAGACAGGAACATGGTAATGGAAATTAGGATGACCCCTAAATAGTCTTTATAATTAAGGAAGGTTTTAACCTTAGGAATACAGTGATCTTGATTGATATTTGGATGCTGATCTTCTGGACAAGGGGCGCATTTTTCTGAATCTGAAAAAGAGGAAGAGTATTGTCCATCTTAAAGCTGGTTCTTTCACCTTTTATTGAAGCTATGACTTGCATAAAATTAGTAAGAAATGAATGTTGAAAGATAAACATAAGAATGAAGATGCAGAATGCTGAAATAGATAATGTATTTCCTATGCAGCAAACTGCAGGGTGCACAACCCAAATGGAAGATCAGAATGCTAAGGTCAGATATAAATGAGCAAAACATACCCAATAAAGAAAAATCACCTAGAACAGTGGTGGCGAACTTATGGCACGGGTGCCAGAGGCGGCACTCAGAGCCCTCTCTGTGGGCACACGCACCGTCGCCCCAGTCTAGGCCTTCAGCTGGGTTTTATAAAACCTTTTCGCTTTAGGCCTCCACTGCCGTGTGCAAAAAAAAAGAAGAGTATTGTCCATCTTAAAGCTGGTTCTTTCACCTTTTATTGAAGCTATGATTTGCATAAAACTAGTAAGGGATGAATGTTGAGAGATAAACGTAAGAATGAAGATACAGAATGCTGAAATAGATAATGTATTTCCTATACAGCAAACTCTGCAGATCAGCCTGTTTGTGGAGATTCTCAGTCATCCAGGTCATAGTTATCCAAAAGATGCTTGTTTACAAGGCAACTGGACATTTCACTTCTCACCCAAGAAGCTTCTTCAGCTCTGACTGGATGGTGGGGAATGGAAGGATTTATATTCCTTGTAAACAGCTGGTCATTTGCATTACTCAGGCGATCATGACGACACCGATAAACCTCCAGGTGGCCTCAACAACTCTCTAAAAGAATGCAAATGACCAGCTGTCTGCAAGGAGTATAAGTCCTTCCATTCCCCACCATCCAGTCAGAGCTGAAGAAGCTTCTTGGATTAGAAGCAAAACATCTTCAAAGAAAAACAAGAAAGTCCAGTTGCCTTGTGAAAAAGCACCTTTGAGATAAATCGGTACACTAAAATCAAATATATGCAAAGTAGAACAGATAAAAGAAAAGAAACTCAAAAATAAGAAGATTAAAAAAAACCAGTCAAGAAAAATCATCTAGAAGCAAGGAAAATCAAGGAAGCACTGGAAATAATAAAGCTGCACATAACAGCTGTAACCAAGAAAATTAGCAGATATGAAACTTGAATTGCACACTAAAATCTCCAATTTCAGGTACCGGTTTCTACCAATCCATCAATGGAGAGACTGCAGTGAACCTGTCAACACCTGATGAAGAAGAAACAGTGCAATTCTATGCACACTATGGGACAACCCAAAGAAATACAACACAGCTTGGTTAAAGTAAGAGGATAGGAATAAAGTGGGCAAGAAGGAAGTAGAGGATGAGAAAGTGAATAAGAATTTTTAAAAAGCTGAAATGAGAGAACTTGTAATAACAGCATAAATAGTGAAGAAAAGGACAAAGAAGTTCATTAACCTTTCAGCACTGGGTGAAATGAGCTGTAAGGTTTTTGATTGAAACATCTGACTGTTCTGCATTCACTTGCTGTCCTTGCAGTTTAACAACATCTGGAAAAACCTATCTGATAATGAAAGATCCAGAAAAGGGGCAGCACAGGGCAATACAATATTAGTCACGATGTCAGCAGATGGTCCAATAAAGAAATGTACAAAAGAGATGGTTTGCATCCATCAAAGAAAGGGACTGAGTTACTTGGCTATAAATTCACAGATTTTCTGGAGGAATATTTAAACTAAACAGCGGGGACAGTGAGCTAACTAATACAGAACATTCCTGTCCCCGGCAATCTAAAAATTATAGGGCT